CTGATCCAGTGGTGCAAGTGTTGCAATGACTGGGGAGAGGGAGAGTTGCAATAGGCTGCCAATATCCCAGTTTGTTGGGTTTCGCCTTAGTAGCCTGTCCATCAGGCATTGCCTTCGTCTGCTGGTGCAATCGTTGGGTTCCCATGGTGGTCACCTCTTCCGTCTATACCGCCGTTGGGGTCTAGTTGGGGCTCTGAAAGTATGTCTGCCTGATGCAGGGCTCCACCGCAGATTTTTCGTTCGGGGTTTACTTCCGTAGTCTCACCCCCAAGGTTAATCTGCATGGCAGCTGGACACTGGTTGGGTAGGTGCCAGGATGTGTCCACATGCCAGTGGGCCTGTGCGCCGTCCCTCTGAGGCCCACTGCTACTCCGAGATCCCCTGCTTGCCTAGCCTGGGCCCACGAGGCACCCAGTTACCGTGTGTTGCCAAGAGGAGGCACAGCAGGAGTCTTGATGGTGAAGAGGCTGTGTACTGGTGTAACGGGCCGAGTTTTCTCTTTTCAATAATTTACCATCCAGCTACTGTTTTCTGTTAGTATTCCATTTACTCATATACTTATTTGTTCGGTGTAGCATTCCTCCAATGAGTACCCTGTTGAATATACTTATTCTCCTTCCATTCTTTACATTTATATTTATTCTTATATGTTCTTACTTATATTCTTATATGTTCTTTACCTCTATATACCTTATATTCTCATATATTCTTATATAAGTAACTCTTATGCTTCTCTACTTATGTTTTCCAAGTCAAGGTTCTTTCTTTTCATTTCCTTTCATATAGATTGTATTCTCAGTTTCAATGTTCTTACCTTTCTGAAGTATACTTTGTTTTATGTCTTTCTTATACATGGGTTAGTCTGGGGAACCATGTTATTCTTTGTATAACACTTTTTATACTCACAAGGGGTAGCTGCCACCACCCAGACTTTTCATTATATAACAGAACTCATGGAAGGGTTTTGGGTAGTGTGGTAGATGTATAGGAACGTGAGTAAGTATTATTTTCTGGGAACCAATGTTTAGAAGGAGTAGAGTGGTGATACTCAGATTACTAACTCAATATTTATTAATACAGTGAGTGGAGAAGATGCATCTTAGATTCACTCAGGCTAAACAGAACCGAAATTAACTTATTAAGTCATCAAACACTTCAAGAACTTATTACCTCATTAAACACCTCCAAATATTCATTACTCTATTGGATACTGTTGTAGTATTTCTGTGACAAGTAAGAATTAGAAATGCTTACACACTGTCAATAACCCTGGACCCGCAGGTCTTACTTTACCAAGGAACAAATTACCTTCTCAATTCGTGGTTAGAACATCATACTCTCAGGTTATTCTTTCATGATTACTACAGATGAATACATAACACAGTGGACTAACTCCACAATTATAGTAACATACAATACCTCCTGTTAGTTTGCAAGGAACAACCTGGTACCTTGAACTCTCATTCAGTGGTTCAATACTTAACCTGGGATGACTATATTTCTGCTAGTCATCCCTAAGCATGGATATTAATACGGCTCCATACATATAACCAAGAACAGTGGGTAGACCATGATCATATGACCGAGTCAGTGGGCCAGCGTTGTTTACAGCGACCGCCAAGCTGAAGGCTCGCTCGCTAGGTGCACTCAGGGAGGTTGACTCGTTACACACTGGCAGAGTAGTGAGGCGCTTCCCGGGGGAATCGTGTCCTGGGATTCTAAATGCGCCCCCTTAGAGACAGTCTTCAAGAACCATGGTGCCCATAGGTAGTTATCGACCCTCAGGAGAGTGGCTAACACATCCGCGTCTGTAGACGTGGAAGAAGAGTCACGAAAGCGTGAATATTTAACTTCACTATACCAAACATACGTCTGGCACCGGTTCAGACGATAGCTAGAGCTCTACTTTACTTGACTTAATTGGCACTGAAGGTACTATGTTGAAACATGAACACTGATATTCGCAAAAATGACTAAGTTAAACTGAGTTAATATGGCGGCGTGGAACACACGTGAACATACCTGTAGACGTGGAAGAAGAGTCACGAATGCGTGATTCTCCCTCGTGTAGAGGTATATACGTGCCCCCGCTGGGCGGCTTGGGCCGCCATATTCATGCCAGAAAGGTCAATCTTACCAACAACATACCTTCTCTACCATGTTGGGTCACCGTATATTTAATTATGAACCCCAGTGTTCCGGATCAGGGTAATTTCCTATGTCTATTCATATAATCTAATCAGAGGTTGAGCTTGCCAGGAAAAGGTGGAATATACACGTTGATAACAACAATTCTGCAAGCTCAGGCCTACAGCGAACAAGGAACTATTCACAGGGAGACGTTAGATCTTGGAGATTATACCAGTTGACAGAATAGTTCAGGCAATTAATGACTTTCTTAAATAGATAACTGACACTAATCAAACTACAAACATCAGATTCTCTGATGTCGGGGCGACAAAATGATCTAACTTCAGGCGCGATCAGAAACTCATGGATATTCTTAGGAACGAAACCGATGGGTATCGTTTGTCCTGGCAGACTCAACACTCACTCACTTGACACGTCTTACCAACAATAAGGACAGTTGAAGCGTTCAACACCACTCATAATGGATCTTGAATGTTTCAACTGTAAACCGACATATCTAAGCTGACTCTAAACCAGGGTGTTCTCTCTCACATTCAAATTCATTTTATAGAGAGGTTGGTTTCAGTAAGTCAGAGAAAATGGGATAACAGGGGACTGAGGCGTCTTGAACTGATGAGAAAACGGAGTCCTCAGATGGAGGACTCAAACTAAAAGCAGATGTACATGTTTTGTGGGCTATTGAGCGTAATATGAATCATTTGATTTTGGCGTTAACCGACGTGTACGACCGTGGTCGTTACACTGGCAGGGGAGGACTTATGCAAGTTACTTCCCTGTTCGCCATGAGGGCTGGCCAGCGGCAGCAGCTGAAAACAAGAGGTAACAAACAGTGCTTGCACCTTAACACGAACATAATGCTGCCACACACACGCACACACCTTACCCCATCTCCATCTTCCCTCCACAGCTCCCCCACTACCTCACCACCCACACTGACCACTCACTTGTCCTCACACGAGACGAAGATCCCAGACAGACCGAAACGTTTTGTCATGTTTACAAGAGTTCATTCAAATGTGGGTATAATTCTTGCACTTGTAAATCATCGTACTGAGCATTAAAACATGAATGCAACAATTTAATCTTGTCTACTTGCTGTACGTTAACAGACCTACACAAACAACGTCCACAAACCTTTATCAACACCTCTTATATAAACAGGGTATAACTAAATTGCTTTTATGTTTTGAATATCTGTTGTTTTGATAAACAGTAAAAATCATTACGTAATCTGAGCTACTTACTGCTAATGTGGATATAGGGAATGTGCCACAGGTTTGTAGTCTGCTTGTCATCTCACCTCTTGTTGATGCTGTCTTCCTCCAATATTGTATCACCCAACATTGGGTAACGACCATACCATCTAGTTTGTAATTATGCCCTTAAACCCATTAACTGTGGAATATGAACTTTGTTATATACTTTCAATATCTTTATTACTGTAAACCATTCATCGCCATATTTATGTTATCAGTAAATGGAGATTTCTTTGTCATTCTTCACTTCAACCAACCTTACTCTCATTTCACACCCCCCCCCCGTCTCCCTTAAAAACATTCTGGTGCAACATCTGTCGGGAAGTGTCACTTCTTTCTACTGCTTCACTGTTCGAGTCTCAGATGTTTCGAAGTCACATTGTGGCTGGGAGCGAGAGAGAACTTTTGTCTGCGACTGTAGTCTCGTTCAAGATTCTTCAAACACTGCTGGAGACAGCTGGCAACTCAAGGCCGTTTGTTTTCTATAGTACTTAGTAAAAATTATCAATGAATTTAAAAGTGATCAGTGATTGGTTACTTTAGTTTCCCCATTGCCTAATTAATGGTAGGGCTTAATTTTGTTCAAGAATCATCTGTTTGACTTTTCATGAATGTCTTATTATTTTTGTCATGCAATTGTGTTACGTGTTCTTCGTGTCAGAAAGTGTTGTGACGGCACCGAGTGTGAGCCCTTTCAAGACAAGACTTGACCAACACTGGAGCAGGTTGAGGTACAATCAGGAGCCGGTGCATGCCCATTATTTGCCAACAGTACGTGACAAAGACGTGACCGATCGCCCGGGCGGCTAGCGAGCCGATCTTTTGGTGAAGAGGATAAATGAAAAGGAAAACTGCTCAAAGGCGTGACCGATCGCCCAAGCGGCTAACCAGCTGATCAGTGGTGAAGAGGAAAAAAAGTGTGTTGGTTTTCTTAGACATTATCGGTGGCACGAATGGTAGTAATGCGGGCAGTAACAGCAAGTTGGTGTTTGTCGAAACTTAATTTAATTCATTATTAAGACAGTAAACATCAATATTTGTTTTATGTATTATAAATAACTGATAATAGGGATTACAATTAATATAATAACAATAACTGAGCGAATATCCTAAAAGTTTTGTTTAATGCGCATGCGCTAATATTAGTCTTCGTGAAGAAATGCTTCCTGCTGCCATATAAATCAAATGGACACTGCCCCACAACTGACTAGACGACCTATTAACATCCTAACCTAGAAACTTTCGTTACTTTAGACATACTAAAGTTGTATAAAATGTTATATTTACAGAATCAGTTTATCGTGTAAGTGAGCCCCCTCCAAAATGACAAACAATAAAGTCGGTAAGCATCGCGCAACAACCTTGACTAGCCGAACAAGTTATTGCGTTTGGACTTCTGGCATCAACAAAGTTTTAATATTTAAAAAAAAGATTGCTACAAAGACTATTTGAATTACCTATAACTAACTTCAGTAGCTGGTGTTTTCCGAATCAGAAATAACTGAGAAAATCTATGATAACGGAGTTTATATATTGTATAACATTAAAAAAGTTATTTGGCGAGACCTGGTGTCTTTCTCCGACCTGCTGGGTGAGGAATTGGATGAATGTGGACCATTAGTGATAGTGTGCAGCGAGGGTAATAAACGTCTACGTCTAGTTGTTTCTTCGGCAAAGGAGCAGAGTGAAAGGCAGGATATAATACGACATCAATACACGAACCATGGTAAGAACCGCTCATTGTTTCCGTGCAGTTACTGGAAGAAAATTTAATATAATATAATATTAAAACAAAAACTGTGTAATTAATACAGTATATTGTTCCAACAAGCCGCTACAATTTATTGGGAAATAACTTCATGAGGAATGTGATAGAAATGATTGATTTTCATGAAAAACTTTCACCAGATACAAATAAAATGATTTATTTGTGCGACTTAGAACAAGTACAGTAGTGCCAGGAATGGAAATGAGAAACACACGGATTCACGTCGCATATTGTACCTCGTTCTTGAAGCATGATTGTTTTAGACTCTTCTTAGAATGTGATATTAAATGCACCACCAGCCCAAAATATAAAGTTCAATTATAAGAACATAAGAATGGAGGAAACTGCAGCGGGCCTATTGACCCATACTGGGCAGTCCCGTTTATACCCAACCCCTATTGCTCATATAAGCATCCAACCTATGTTTGAAGCTATCCAGCGTATTCGAGTTAATGATGATATTTGGTAACTTGTTCCATTCATCCACTAATCTGTTTCCAAACCAGTGTTTACCTATTTCACGCCGAAATCTAAATTTGTCTAATTTTAAACAATTGTTACGAGTTCGCTCCTGGTTGGATAGTTTGAGTACCTTTGTAATGTCCAATTTGTTTAACCCTGACTTCCATTTATACACCTCTATCATGTCGCTCCTCACTCTACTTCTCTCGAGGGAGTGCAAATTAAGATGCTTTAACCTGTCTCTGTATTCAAGGTTCCTAATGTCCGGGATTAGTCTTGTCATTCTCCTCTGGATTTTTTCCAATGATTCTATATCCATTCTGTAATACGGTGACCAGAACTGAACTGCATAATCCAGGTGAGGTCTCACAAGCCCTAGATATAATTTTAAGATGACCTCGCTAGTCTTGTAACTAACATTCCTTTGTATGAACCCAAGTACTTTATTAGCCTTGTTACGAGCAAAAACACATTGTTTACTTGGATTAAGATTCCTACTTATCATTACTCCTAAATCTCTCTCGCAGTCGGATTCCACAATGGCATCGTTGTTCATCTGGTAACTGGTTTTCCTGTTTACATCTCCTATACTGAGTACTTTACATTTGTTCTCATTGAATTTCATCAGCCATTTTTCCTACCATACGAAAATTTTGTTTAAGCCTTCCTGTAGTTTTGCAGAGTCCTCGTCAGATTTAATTACACGTCCTATTTTAGTGTCAGCAGCAAATTTACTTATATTGCTGTCTATGCCGATATCTATGTCGTTTATGTATATAATAAATAATAATGGTCCAAGTACTGAGCCTTGGGGAACTCCACTAGTGACGTTGCTCCAATGCGATTTAGTGCCGTTTATGCTCACTCGCTGTTTCCTGTCCCGTAACCACGCCCTAATCCATTTAAGGATATTACCTTTGATGCCATGCGCTTCTACCTTTCTAATTAGTCTTTCGTGGGGGACTCTGTCGAAGGCTTTGCTAAAGTCGAGATATACCACATCATAATTGTGCCCCTCGTCCACCGATTCGAAAACTGATGAAAAGAATGTTAATAGATTAGTTAGACATGAACGCCCGCTTGTGAAGCCATGTTGGAAATCATTGATCAGCTTGTGCTTCTCCAGGTGGTTTCGAATAGAGTTTGAAATAATTGATTCTAGTAATTTACCTACTATTGATGTTAGACTGATTGGGCGGTAGTTAGAGGATAGTGATCTATCCCCCGGCAATAATTATCCCCACAAAAAACCTACTCAACTAAATGTACTTGAATAAGTAAGAACAGTTGAAATAAGTGAATCACAAAAGGGAAGATAATTAATTAATTCAATTTATGTTCTAAAGGGAGTAATGACAAGCAAACATGAATTTAAGGGAATAAGTAATTGTATAATAAAATAAGAGTGATGCCGGAAGGGCGAAAATATACCGTAAGGAGTTAGACCAAACTAATATTACTTTACATAAATATATTACACAAACATACAGTATATATAAACAGCAATCACTACAAAATGATTATTTCCTACCAAACAGGAGATTCCTTACCACCAGGATCCCTTCCTAGGCCTAACTAAACGTGTCACTAATACCTGATACCCCTAGGGCATTGCAGAAGACTGGACAAGGCACTAGACAAGGGTCATACAGAAAGAACCACGGACACGCCACTCCCATGCCAATGGTTTTTTCGCCATTGCGGAAGCGGCAGTTTTACGCTGTGGAGCGCTGGCCCTATATCAAGTGATCCAGGACATTTGGTTATTAGATATTTTATATAATTAATTAATACTACTTGATTTGACTTAACAGAGTAAGACAAATATGCATATTATCAAACATACATAAATATACAATGCAATCTAAGAATCTAAGAACAATACTAATATAATAAGTACACTAATGTTTATAGTTTGTGTGAAATGGTATGCGGAATATATGCCTCACTTGGCGCGTAGTTCTCGACATTAAATGCGGGACACTTCAAAAAAGTGAGCTTACAACTAACTGGAAGCGAAAATGGATATACAGCTACAAAGTGAAAGTAATAACTAACACAATCAGTTTAAATCAACATGAAGCAAAATAATTCATAATATAAACACAAGGTACTCAATGACAATAAAACAAAAAATAATTTGCATATAGACATAGTTACTAAATAATCAGACTCGAGAAAGTGCATCAGCCAACACGTTCTCTTTTCCGCGGATATGGGAAATGTTCAAGTTATAGGGCTGAAGTGATAGAGCCCACCTCAAAAGTCTTTGGTTGGTATGTTTCATCTTGTCAACAAAAGTAAGTGGGTTATGATCAGTGAACACTTGAACGGGATAAGCAGTGCTGCCAATATATACTTTGAAGTTTTCTAGTGCCATGATCAGTGATAAAGCCTCCTTTTCAATGGTGGCATAGTTTCTTTGATATTTGTTAAATTTTCTAGAAAAATAGCACAGCGGATGAAGCACTTGATCACTCTCACCCTCTTGCAGAAGCACAGCACCGGCGCCAATTTCACTGGCGTCGACATGGAGAGTGAACTGTTTCTGGAGGTCAGGTGCAAGTAGTACAGGAGCATTTGCCAGCAGGGATTTAAGATTCTCAAAAGATTCCTGGCAAGCCGTAGTCCACTTGAAGGTTTTCTTGCCACTCAGCAGGTCAGTCATGGGAGAGGCAACGGAGGAGAAGTTTGGACAAAAACGGCGGTAGTACCCCGCCATACCCAGCAACCTCATCACACTCTTCTTATCGCCTGGCACTGGATACTGTTGAATTGCCTCAATTTTGGCTGCTATAGGCTGGACTTCCCCTTGTCCGACCACATGCCCCAAGAAAGTGACGTGGGCATGGCCGAACTCAGTTTTGACGAGGTTCACCGTCAGCTTGCTTGCAGCCAGTACGGAGAAGAGGGCTTGTAGACGACTCATGTGATCTTCCCAGGAACTGCTGAAGACGATAAGGTCGTCTAGGTAACAGCGGACACCTTCCAGACCAGACGTGATGAAATTCATGAGGCGTTGAAAGGTTGCAGGGGCGTTCCGCATACCAAACGGAAGGACTGTGAATTGGTACAACCCCTCAGGAGTGACAAAAGCAGAGATGGCCCTGGAGCTTTCAGTCAGTCTTACCTGGTAGAAGCCCTGGAGGAGATCCAACTTGGTCACGTACCTTGCCTGTCCAAGATCGTCGATCATGTCGTCGATGCGTGGCAAGGGATAACCATCGGGTTCAGTGACAGCATTCACCTTGCGATAATCCACACACAGCCGCATTGACCCATTCGGCTTTGGAACTAGAACAACAGGGGATGCCCATGGACTGATGCTGGGTTCGACGAGGCCTAGCTCTTGAAGACGCTGTACCTCGGCTCGCACACACTCCCGCTTGAAGGCATTAAGACGGTAGGGACGCTGTCGGATTGGCTTGGCTCCCCTGGTCTCAACGTCATGCTCCAGCACTGAACAAGAGAGTGGGTAATCACCAACTATAATAAGATACTCCTGTAATAGAGACTTTATATTATTGGCTTGGTCACTAGAGAGATGGCACAACTTAGCACTGGGGTCCTCCAAGATAGTCGAGTTTTCAACTTTTACACTAGACCCATTCATTATTTCAGAAAAACACTGATCTTTATCATCCTTACACTCTGGCACAATGATACAATTTGGCAAGGATTGATCAACACAAGCAACTGCTTTTCCCAGGGTTTCGTTACGAACATGATATGACTTTAAAAGATTGACATGGATAAGGCGTTTTTTCTTACGCCGTTCAGGGGTGTTAATCACATAATTCACGGACCCCTGTTTTTCTAGTACTTCATATGGACCACAGTATTTGGATTTAAAAGGGTATCACGTAAGGGCAGGAAGGCCAACACCTGCTCCCCCACTTGGAATTCTCTAGGTTTTGCGTGATGGGCCTTATCAAAATGCAGTTTCATTTTCACCTGAGCACACCTAAAGTTGGACTGGGCAAGTTCTACAGCCAGACGCAACTTCTCCTTGAATTGGACCACATATGAAGATAAGGGCGTCGCGCTCTGATCACTCAACCAACACTCTTTTAACACCTTAAGAGGCCCTCGCGCCTCATGTCCATAGACGAGCTGGAAGGGCGAGAATCCTAGCGACTCTTGTTTACTGTCCCGAACAGCAAACAAAAGCAGGTCAACTCCCTCGTCCCAATCCTTCCCAGTCTCCAGACAGAAGGTGTGCAACATGAGTTTTAGTGTCTGGTGAAACCTCTCTACCACCCCCTGTGACTGAGGGTGATAGGCCGAAGACCTCGACTGCCGGACTCCCAGGGTTTGCATTACCTGATTAAACAACCGGGAAGTAATATTGGAACCCTCATCTGACTGCACCACTGTAGGAAGGCCTACTTGAGTGAAGAAGTGGGTTAAGGCTTTAATAACATTCTTCGCTGTGATGCGGCGCAAGGGAATGGCTTCAGGATAACGGGTTGCACAATCAATAATGGTTAGCAAGA